TGGCCGGCATTTCGCACTTATAGTCCAACTAGGGCCAAGGAGAACGGAAACGCTCATTTCTAAAAAAGGAAAGGGAATCTAGCGGTCTCACTCGATCAGAAGGTGGAAAATATATAAATCTAGTGAGCTAATAAGGTTCGAAAGGAATCTAATGCATATGTATATGGAAAATGGTGCATTGGCCAGGTCGGTCAGTATGGGAACTTAGAGTGCAAATGCCAGGGAGAACGGAAGCGCTCAGATCTCGCATAGTACACGGAATCTAGTGGTCTCACTCAAATAGAAGGTAGGAAATAAATTCATCTAGTGAACGTAAGGGTTTGAAAGGTAACTAACGCACATGTGTAGAGAAAATGGTGCATCGGCCAGTCTGGCCGGCATTTCGCACTTATAGTGCAAGTAGGGCCAAGGAGAACGGAAACGCTCATTTCTAAAAAATTAAAGGGAATCTAGCGGTCTCACTCGATCAGAAGGTGGGAAATATATAAATCTAGTCAGCTAAAAAGGTTTGATAGTATTCAATGCACATGTATAGAGAAAATGGTGCATTGGCCAGGTCGGTCAGTATCGGAACTTAAAATGCAAATGCCAGGGAGAACGGAAGCGCTCAGATCTCGCATAGTACACGGAATCAAGTGGTCTCACTCAAATAGAAAGTAGGAAATATATTCATCTAGTGAACGTAAGGGTTTGAAAGGTAACTAACGCACATGTGTAGAGAAAATTGTGCATCGGCCAGTCTGGCCGGCATTTCGCACTTATAGTGCAACTAGGGCCAAGGAGAACGGAAACGCTCATTTCTAAAAAAGGAAAGGGAATCTAGCGGTCTCACTCGATCAGAAGGTGGAAAATATATAAATCTAGTGAGCTAATAAGGTTCGAAAGGAATCTAATGCATATGTATATGGAAAATGGTGCATTGGCCAGGTCGGTCAGTATGGGAACTTAGAGTGCAAATGCCAGGGAGAACGGAAGCGCTCAGATCTCGCATAGTACACGGAATCTAGTGGTCTCACTCAAATAGAAGGTAGGAAAAAAATTCATCTAGTGAACGTAAGGGTTTGAAAGGTAACTAACGCACATGTGTAGAGAAAATGGTGCATCGGCCAGTCTGGCCGGCATTTCGCACTTATAGTGCAAGTAGGGCCAAGGAGAACGGAAACGCTCATTTCTAAAAAATTAAAGGGAATCTAGCGGTCTCACTCGATCAGAAGGTGGGAAATATATAAATCTAGTCAGCTAAAAAGGTTTGATAGTATTCAATGCACATGTATAGAGAAAAATGGTGCATTGGCCAGGTCGGTCAGTATCGGAACTTAAATGCAAATGCCAGGGAGAACGGAAGCGCTCAGATCTCGCATAGTACACGGAATCAAGTGGTCTCACTCAAATAGAAAGTAGGAAATATATTCATCTAGTGAACGTAAGGGTTTGAAAGGTAACTAACGCACATGTGTAGAGAAAATTGTGCATCGGCCAGTCTGGCCGGCATTTCGCACTTATAGTGCAAGTAGGGCCAAGGAGAACGGAAACGCTCATTTCTCAAAAAGTAAGGGAATCTAGCGGTTTCACTCGATCAGAAGGTGGGAAATATATAAATCTAGTGAGCTAATAAGGTTTGAAAGGAATCTAATGCATATGTATATCGAAAATGGTGCATTGGCCAGGTCGGTCAGTATGGGAACTTAGAGTGCAAATGCCAGGGAGAACGGAAGCGCTCAGATCTCGCATAGTACACGGAATCTAGTGGTCTCACTCAAATAGAAGGTAGGAAATAAATTCATTTAGTGAACGTAAGGGTTTGAAAGGTAACTAACGCACATGTGTAGAGAAAATGGTGCATCGGCCAGTCTGGCCGGCATTTCGCACTTATAGTTCAAGTAGGGCCAAGGAGAACGGAAACGCTCATTTCTCAAAAAGTAAAGGGAATCTAGCGGTCTCACTCGATCAGAAGGTGGGAAATATATTAACCTAGTGAGCTAATAAGGTTCGGAAGGAATCTAATGCATATGTATATGGAAAATGGTGCATTGGCCAGGTCGGTCAGTATGGGAACTTAGAGTGCAAATGCCAGGGAGAATGGAACCGCTCAGATCTCGCATAGTACCCGGAATCTAGTGGTCTCACTCAAATAGAAGGTAGGAAATAAATTCATCTAGTGAACGTAAGGGTTTGAAAGGTAAGTAACGCACATGTGTAGAGAAAATGGTGCATCGGCCAATCTGGCCGGCATTTCGCACTTATAGAGCAACTAGGGCCAAGGAGAACGGAAACGCTCATTTCTCAAAAAGTAAAGGGAATCTAGCGGTCTCACTCGATCAGAAGGTGGAAAATATATAAATCTAGTGAGCTAATAAGGTTCGAAAGGAATCTAATGCATATGTATATGGAAAATGGTGCATTGGCCAGGTCGGTCAGTATGGGAACTTAGAGTGCAAATGCCAGGGAGAATGGAAGCGCTCAGATCTCGCATAGTACACGGAATCTAGTGGTCTCACTCAAATAGAAGGTAGGAAATAAATTCATCTAGTGAACGTAAGGGTTTGAAAGGTAAGTAACGCACATGTGTAGAGAAAATGGTGCATCGGCCAGTCTGGCCGGCATTTCGCACTTATAGTGCAACTAGGGCCAAGGAGAACGGAAACGCTCATTTCTCAAAAAGGAAAGGGAATCTAGCGGTCTCACTCGATCAGAAGGTGAAAAATATATAAATCTAGTGAGCTAATAAGGTTCGAAAGGAATCTAATGCATATGTATATGGAAAATGGTGCATTGGCCAGGTCGGTCAGTATGGGAACTTAGAGTGCAAATGCCAGGGAGAACGGAAGCGCTCAGATCTCGCATAGTACACGGAATCTAGTGGTCTCACTCAAATAGAAGGTAGGAAAAAAATTCATCTAGTGAACGTAAGGGTTTGAAAGGTAACTAACGCACATGTGTAGAGAAAATGGTGCATCGGCCAGTCTGGCCGGCATTTCGCACTTATAGTGCAAGTAGGGCCAAGGAGAACGGAAACGCTCATTTCTCAAAAAGTAAAGGGAATCTAGCGGTCTCACTCGATCAGAAGGTGGGAAATATATAAATCTAGTCAGCTAAAAAGGTTTGATAGTATTCAATGCACATGTATAGAGAAAATGGTGCATTGGCCAGGTCGGTCAGTATCGGAACTTAAAATGCAAATGCCAGGGAGAACGGAAGCGCTCAGATCTCGCATAGTACACGGAATCAAGTGGTCTCACTCAAATAGAAAGTAGGAAATATATTCATCTAGTGAACGTAAGGGTTTGAAAGGTAACTAACGCACATGTGTAGAGAAAATTGTGCATCGGCCAGTCTGGCCGGCATTTCGCACTTATAGTGCAAGTAGGGCCAAGGAGAACGGAAACGCTCATTTCTCAAAAAGTAAAGGGAATCTAGCGGTTTCACTCGATCAGAAGGTGGGAAATATATAAATCTAGTGAGCTAATAAGGTTTGAAAGGAATCTTATGCATATGTATATCGAAAATGGTGCATTGGCCAGGTCGGTCAGTATGGGAACTTAGAGTGCAAATGCCAGGGAGAACGGAAGCGCTCAGATCTCGCATAGTACACGGAATCTAGTGGTCTCACTCAAATAGAAGGTAGGAAATAAATTCATTTAGTGAACGTAAGGGTTTGAAAGGTAACTAACGCACATGTGTAGAGAAAATGGTGCATCGGCCAGTCTGGCCGGCATTTCGCACTTATAGTTCAAGTAGGGCCAAGGAGAACGGAAACGCTCATTTCTCAAAAAGTAAAGGGAATCTAGCGGTCTCACTCGATCAAAAGGTGGGAAATATATAAACCTAGTGAGCTAATAAGGTTCGGAAGGAATCTAATGCATATGTATATGGAAAATGGTGCATTGGCCAGGTCGGTCAGTATGGGAACTTAGAGTGCAAATGCCAGGGAGAATGGAACCGCTCAGATCTCGCATAGTACCCGGAATCTAGTGGTCTCACTCAATAGAAGGTAGGAAATAAATTCATCTAGTGAACGTAAGGGTTTGAAAGGTAACTAACGCACATGTGTAGAGAAAATGGTGCATCGGCCAGTCTGGCCGGCTTTTCGCACTTATAGTGCAACTAGGGCCAAGGAGAACGGAAACGCTCATTTCTCAAAAAGGAAAGGGAATCTAGCGGTCTCACTCGATCAGAAGGTGGAAAATATATAAATCTAGTGAGCTAATAAGGTTCGAAAGGAATCTAATGCATATGTATATGGAAAATGGTGCATTGGCCAGGTCGGTCAGTATGGGAACTTAGAGTGCAAATGCCAGGGAGAATGGAAGCGCTCAGATCTCGCATAGTACACGGAATCTAGTGGTCTCACTCAAATAGAAGGTAGGAAATAAATTCATCTAGTGAACGTAAGGGTTTGAAAGGTAACTAACGCACATGTGTAGAGAAAATGGTGCATCGGCCAGTCTGGCCGGCATTTCGCACTTATAGTGCAACTAGGGCCAAGGAGAACGGAAACGCTCATTTCTCAAAAAGGAAAGGGAATCTAGCGGTCTCACTCGATCAGAAGGTGGAAAATATATAAATCTAGTGAGCTATTAAGGTTCGAAAGGAATCTAATGCATATGTATATGGAAAATGGTGCATTGGCCAGGTCGGTCAGTATGGGAACTTAGTGTGAGAGAAGAGAACAGGAATGAAAATGACTAAGTCAGAGTTGGGTACAAATACAACCCTAGAAAACTGTACCCCATATGTGCTACCCCCACTATGGCCTACAAACATGCATCAACTATGATAATCTGACACACCCCCATAGGCAAAGTGGGGGAGAACAAGGGTCACAAGACCAGTCAAGCAAAGCAAAACAAGCAAGCTCAGGGTGGATCACAAAGTCACCACACAGTCCGAGCACAAGAGCAGGGCCAGAGGCCAGTTCACATGCAGGAGTACAGACATATATATATATAAAACTAGACAAGCAAGAGCAGGTATATATATATGTCACAGTACAAGTGAAGTCAAGAGGAGAGCAAGTGAGGCAAGACAGGCACAAGACCCAGCTGGGTGCAAAAGCGCTGATGGTCACAAGGCGCGAGTGCCTTGGTGAACACATCAGCAGTGTTGGCCTCAGAGGCCACGTACGCAAGTCGCAACTGACCACGCTGCTGCAGCTCACGAGCAAGGAAGTAGCGGAGAGCAATGTGCTTCGTTCTGTGCTCCAAGCGCTGCTCTCGACACAAGGCCAGCATGGCCTTGTTGTCTACGTACAGCACTGGAGGAGAACGAGGCACCTCTCCAAGGTCAGTCAGCAGGTAGGTGAGCCAGCGAAGCTCCTGTGCAGCCATGGCCCCGGCGTAGATCTCAGCCTCACAACTGGAGCCGAGAACCGAGGACGAGCGAGTAGACCGCCACGAGACAGAGCCGGAACCAAGGCTGAAGGTGTAACCCTGTGACGACCGCTGCGTAGCCTGGTCGTCAGCCCAAGAAGCGTCCGCGTGGCCGGTAAGGACCACTGGACTCCGCCCTCCAAGCACTAGCCCCATGCCCGACGTACTGCACAGGTAGCGCAATACCCTCTTCGCTGCAGCCATGTGCTCTGGTCTGTGTCTCCCAGGAGCAACATAGCGTGCAAGAATGCTCAGAGGGTATGCAAGGTCAGGTCGTGTGCAGGTCATCAGGTACATGAGGCAGCCAACAAGCTCTGCATACGGACCACTCGACTCTACGGACTCATCCGAAGGCAGAGCTGAGAGCGAGTGGCGAGTAGACAGAGGAGTGGCCTGAGGCGAGGAGTACGTGAAGCCGAAGCGCTGAAGGACCTGCTGCACCATGTGTGACTGAGTCAGGGTAATGGTGCGACGTGCTCTGTCCCGGGTGATCTGCAAGCCAAGGTAGCTGCGCAGTTCACCCAGGTCTGTGCACGTGTGTCTCTTCTGCAGCTCGGACTTCACGTGGGCGAGTCCAGCAGTGTCAGCAGTGGCAAAGACCAAGTCGTCGACGTACACGAGGATGTAGAACAGCGGCAAAGAGGTGTTGTGTGCGCAGAAACAACGACGGGTCAGCAGTAGAGGGAGCAAACCCAAGAGCCGCAAGCGTAGTCCTCAGTGTGTCGTGCCACTCACGCGGTGCCTGGCCGAGACCGTAGACTGGCCGTCGGAGGCTCCACTGGGTGCCAGGAGGGAAAGTCCCAGTGAAGCCAGGTGGACGGCGAAGCCAGATCTCCTCGTGCAGGCTACCCTGCAAGAACGCAGTGCTGAAGTCGAGAGAGTGAAGCTCGTAGTCGCGCTGAGCGGCTATGTGCAGCAGCACCCGAAGAGTAGTCATCTTCGGGGTGGGAGAGAAGGTCTGAAAGTAGTCAACTCCCTGCCGCTGACTGAAACCACGAGCAACGTACCGTGCCTTGAAGACAGGTGGAGAGCCCGGCGGCCGCTTCACCCTGAAGATCCACATGCCACATGACGATGTTCGCCCCACGAGGGGGAACCGCGTCAACGTAGGTGCCTGTGGACTTCCAGGAAGCCATCTCTGCATCCATAGCTGCCTGCCACTAAGAGGAGTAGGGACCCTCTACGGCCTCCGCGTAAGAACGCGGAGTCGGGATGTCTAGTGCATCCGGGTCTCCCTCAGGGGCAAGCAGTACAGACGCGAGATGAGGTGAAGCAGCCGCTAGACACTGTAACTCCTCCTGCCTGTCCTCTAGGACGTCCGTGCCAAGAGCACACTCACCCCCGACGGACGGAGGACAGACAGACGCAGACTCAGCAACAAGACTAGCAGCGTAGTCGAGGCGACAGCGAGCAGCAAAGTCGACGAGCTCAGCGACTAGAGCAGACGCAGCAGTGGACTCAAAAGAGGGGTCAGTGACGACAGTAGCAAGCAGAACGCGTGACAGTAGGACTGGCAGCACGAAGAGAGTCCGACTCAGGGTCGGCAAGCGCAGGAAGAGAGGACTCAGGAGGAGAAGGCAAAGGGGCACGCAGAGGAGCAGTGGACGGACGCAAAGACATCCGGTGGGTGCCAGGGACACGAGGAGGACGCTGACGCGAACTGCGACCACTAGCGCGAGCAGCACGAACAGGCGACGCGGGACGAGACGCAGGCTCACGACGCTCAGCAAGACCTCAGTAAGACCAGTGTAAGGAGAGGGAGCAGGCAGTGGAGAGGAAGGCTCCAGTAGGGACTGCGACTGGACAGGCGGTGGACCCTCTACTGGAGGAGAAAGACCAAGAACCTGCTGCAGGAGCGGAACGAAGTACGGCCGAGGCCGCACGGCAGCTCCAGACTCAGCAGGGACAGCACCAGCACCCTCAGCGACAGCACCAGCGCCACCCACACCTCCAGCGGCAGGACCAACAGCAGTAGGCTCAGCACCAACGCCCTCAGCACTTCCAGCTCCAGGAGGACCCGCAGGTCCCAGCAGCTCCGGGACCGGCAAGCACCCGCACCCTCGACGGTCGAAGAAGCTCCAGCTCCAGCTCCAGCAGCACCTCCAGACTCAGCAGCACGCCTCCAGCGGCGAGCGAACCACTCGCGCAGCTCCTGTGGAGAGAGGGGCTCCCGGCGAGACGCAGCAGCAGGAGAAACCCCAGGCATCAGGCAGCTCCAGACGCAGCACCCCCAGGCTCAGCAGCTCCCAGCTCAGCACCCCCAGCTCAGCAGCTCCCGACCCAGCACCCCCCAGACCCAGCACCTCCAGGCACAGCACCCCCCGGCTCAGCACCCCCAGGCTCCGCAACCCTCCGCAGTAGCACCCTCAGGCTCAGCACCCCCGCGCACAGCACCCCCAGAGTCAGCACCCCCAGGCTCAGCACCCGCAGCAGCACCAGAGTCACCTGTAACCTCGACCAGGGTCACGGCGTCTACCCTGGGACACACCTGAGGGGGCAGGAACCTGAGGGGGGAGGGGGTTCTACCGGGGGGGGAACCGGCACAAGGAAGTCCGGGGGAGGGGGGAGGGAAGGAGTGCGGTAGGGGAAGAGACGGTAGAAGGGGACTGACTCGTCGAACGTGACGTCCTGGGAGGACAGAACACGACGAGAGGAGGGGGTGGTAAAACTGCCACCCTGGGGCGTCAGTGGGGAAGCCAAGGAAGACACAGGGAGCAGCACGAGGGGACAGCTTGTCCGCAGACAAGTCGCGGACAAACGCCCGAGATCCCCAGACACGGAACACAGACGCATCGCCAACCTTCCCCGTCCACAGCAAGGCGGGGGACATCGCAGGCCGAGAGACCCGGGGGTGAAGGTTGAGCTGATGCGCCGCGTACCTCACCGCAAAACGGCCACAGAAAATGGGGGGGCAGCCGCATGCATCATGGACGTACGAGCGACATCCATGACCATGCCAATGCTGCGCTCAGCAATCCCATTTTGCTGTGGTGAGTCCGGAAGCGTGAAGGTCCTGGCGGATCCCCCTTGCACGACAGTAGTCTCGCAGAAGGCGAGAAGAGAACTCTCCGCCTCTGTCCGAGTGCAGACGCAGAACAGGGAAGTCCGAGGCCGAAGCTCTTCCTGAGCTGGAGACGAGCCTCGCGGATCCAGTCGATCAGCACCTCAGTGACCGCACCCTTGCTGCGCAAGGGGAGGACTGTGGTGTAACGCGAGTAGTCGTCAACCACCAACAGGAAGTAGCGCTCGTGACCCTGCCCACGGACGGGGGCTGGGCCCCACACATCCATGTGAAGCGTCTGCAGGGGAGCCTCTGTCGGGGGGAAGTGGGAGGAGTGAGGAAGTAGCCCGGAGGCGACCCTCGACACAGGGGACACAGGAAGGTCCTGGCCCGGAGGGGAGAGGAGGGAGAGACTGGGGAAGACCAGAGACAAGGACACGGGAAGCCATGCTCCGAAGACGGGGCAAGGAGGGGTGGCCAAGACGGTGGTGCCACAGGAGAGTCTCGTGAGACAGGAGGGCGACAAGAACAGGGGGCAGACTCAGGACCTGACCGGGACAGCAGCAGCAAACACCTGACCTGACGCAGCCACCTGACCAGAACGCAGGGACAGGAGGAGACTCAACGGTCAGGGTGTAGAGACTCGACACTCGGCCGACGCGAGAACGTGGCCAGGTGTCGGCCTGTGCGTGCCTCCGTGCCGTGGTGTCACGCGCTGACTCGCAGGAGTGAACTGGTGAACCCCCACATCCTGCAGGTCCGCGCCACTCACCAAGTTCGTAGAGAACGAGGGAAGGTACAGACCAGACAGGGTGCCCGAAGGGGCAAGCCGGACACGGGAGGAAAGTGGAGAAGTGAGACAGGACAGGACCCCCAGAGGGGTCAGCAAGGGAGGCTGCAACCGGCCGGCCCGAGCGGCGTAAGGGTAGTGCGGTCTCGAAAGAAGGAGCGAGAAGCCCCGGAGTCAAGTGTGAAAGTGAGGGAGTACGAGGACGACGCAGTACCTGAGAGCGCAGTCTCACCAGTACCTGAGAGCACAGACGCACTGGCACCTAGAGCAGCAGCCTCACAAGCACCTAGCGCAGCAGTACCAATGCCCGGGTCGGGCTGGAAACACCGGTAACCCTCATTCTCCTCACTATAAGTACACAGCATACATAGCAGCAAGGATAGCATCAAAATCAAGATCAAAGATCGCTACACCAACCCTAAGAAGCTCATCCCAGCGAGGGATCTCAGTAGCCCCAGGGAACTGCTGACGCCAAGCGTCCGTCAGGCGGCCAAAGCAGCGCTGGGCGGCGTGGGCACCCCCACACTGCTCACCCGCGCGGTCGCCGGAACGAAGAACGTAGGTGCAGGGACCAGTACCCCACCCCTCTGACGCCCAGCGTACCACTCACGAAGCTGCTGAGGCGGAGGGATGTCCCGCGAGCGCTGCTGCTGCTGCCGCTGCGAGCGCTGGCCACCACCACCGCCGCTACGCTGCTGGGTACCACCTCGACCAGCTCCACCTCCTCCACCACCACCGCCTCCTCCGCTGCCGCCTCCACCGCCTCCACCTCCGCCGCCTCCACCTCCGCCGCTGCCTCCACCACCACCGCTGGCACCACCACCACCGTCTCCGCCGCTGCTGCCACCACCACCACACCCCGCCACTAGTCCCGCCGCCACCCCCACTCCCTCCGCCGCCACCGCCGCCACCGCCACCGCCCCCTCCAGCTCCACCCGCGCCCTTGCCCCCCCTTGCCCTTGCTGGAGCGACGTCTCCCACTAGGGGCAGACGCCGCGCCGACCGACTCAAGACCAAGCAGGTCGGCAGCAGCAGCAGAGGCAACAGAGGGCAGCAAGGGGGAAGGAGAGCACCCCTCAAAGATGGGGGTGCGAGGGTCACCACGAGAAGCACCTACAGCGACTATGCTCTTCTCCGCTGCGAGGAGGGCCTTCTCGAGGAGGTCGACGGTGAGGGTGGTGGGACAGACTGCGAGAAAGTGGTCCCTGACGACGCGAAGGGAGTCACGGAGGCGCGCGACTACGTAGTAGAGAGCGATGTACATGGGGGGTGGGTTCTTAGCGCAGAACTCAGCAGGAAGGGCGGGCGCGGGGGTAGCGAGTGTCACTAGTGCGGAGGTGCGTAATGAGTCAGCGACAGTGGGAAAGGCAGAGAGGTCAGGAAAGAGGTAGGGAAGCATGAGACGGCTCAGTGCAGCAGTGGCAGGGGAGGAGTAGCGCGCAACTACAGCGTCGTACAAGGTCTGAGCACTCTTGTACTGACTAAAGTGCGCACGCTCAGAGGTAGGGAGGTGGCGACGCACAGCAAGACGTGCAGCAGCATCGCGGGTGGCCCACTGAGAGCGGACAGTGGGGATCAGCATCAGCAGCAGGAGCAGGGAGCAGGAGAGGCGCCAGAGGTGAGGTCAAAGAGAGAAAGGCCGTCAGCCCTGTCGCACTGTAAGAACAGCTGCAGGTCGTCTAACCAGACCTCAAAATCAATGGCGCGACCCTCAGCGTCAAAAGCTAGGACACTAGGGGTAGCCATGGCGACGACAGCGACGCAGTGCAAGCAGTAGGGAAAGAGCTCGAGTGACAGTGGGACTGGCTCACCAGGCAGGGCAGGTCGTGCAGCTCAGCAGAAAGGCGGCTCGGCGACGGGCGGCTCGGGTGCACACGGCTCGGCTCCCGGGCGGCTCGGCGGCAGGGCGGCTCGGGTGCAGGGCGGCTCGGCTCCCGGGCGGACTCGGCGGCAGGGCGGCTCGGGGGCAGGCGGGCGGCTCGGCTCACGGGTCGGCTCGGCGCCAGGGCGGCTCGAGCGTCTTAGGGCGGCTCGGCTCCCGGCGGTCGGCTGCACGGCTGCCCGACTGCTGAGGTGGGGCGGCAGGGCAGCGTGAAAGAAACGGGGGGGCGGGGCCGCGTCAGAGGCCGGCGG